TACTAGGGTCCTTTACAGACAAAATGTTCCAACTTGTGTTCTGGGCAGAGAGAAGAGCAAGTGCAAAGGTTCTGAGGCCAGAATGTGCCTGGTGTGCTTGAGGAATAGCAGGGAGGCCGGTGCACTTGAAGTGGAAGGAGGGAAGGGGAACATGGAAGGGCCTGAGACCCTAGAGAAAGTGAGGGAGTCAGATTGGGTAAGGCCTGTGGGCTATGCAAAGCCTTGGCTCTTTATCTGAGTAAGGTGAGACCCAAGAGGCCTTCTACTCTAACTAAATTAAGTATTTTGAAAATCCACCAGATGTAGAAGGAGTTTAGAGCAGAAGGATGCACAGTTGCATTGAAGTTTCCATCTTGAAAGTAGACTGGGGAGGAAGAGTAGAGGGAAGGAAATCAGGGAGAAAAAAATGGAGATGCAAGGCATTTGTGGGACACAGGATGGTTTATTACCTGTTGATGATAACATGTATAGTATTCTCCACTGGACTGGTCTGAGGTGTATTTCCTGTTGGGTAAATTCTCTTTACAAGCCAAATGATTGATGTATAGCAATTGAATGTTTAAAAAAATAAGAAGCTTGGCAGTCTTTCTCCTGAGGCTCTAGTGAACGCAGTCACTCCTCTGATGACGCAGGAGTGACCATGACTCTAAGGCCCGAGATACAGGAATGGCCAAGGAGCAGTCTCAGCCCTGTACTCAGGACCAACGTTTCACAGGAATGGAAACTTCAAGTGGAAATCCAGAAAAGGCAGGTGAAGAGGAAAGCACTGAAAAGAAAGAAGTAGAAAAAAAGAAATGGTCTCGAGTTAGACAGGCGCTTGCAGATACTGCTAAGCAAGTGGACTTCTGGTTTGGGAATGCCAAGATCTCCACAAGGACAAGTTCCTTCGAGAGCAGATAGAGAAATCCAGAGATGGCTATGTGGATATATCACTTCTTGTATCTTTTAACAAGATGCAAAAACTGACTACTGATGGAAGTTAATAGCCAGAGCACTGAAAAATCCAGCTGTTGTAGAGTTGGATTTAGAAGGGACCGGATCAGGAGAAAGCAGCCTCTGGGTGAAAGACCCAAGGAGGAAAATGAGTGGACCATGTACGTGGAATTACTTCCCAAAAGTGGTAGCCACAGCTGGATTGAAAGGGTGTTTGGGAAACGTGGCAATGTTTATATAAGTATACCACACTACAAGTCTACTGGAGGTCCAAAGGGATTTGCATTTGTGGAATTTGAAACAAAAGAACAAGCAGCAAAAGCTGTAGAGTTTCTCAACAACCCACCTGAGACGCACCAAGAAAACCACATATATTTCGTAAGACAGTGAAAAATAAGCCCATCCCAGCCGTAAAAGTAGCCAAGGAGAAGAAAAAGAAGAAAGGCCACATGAAGAAGGAAGACAGTGCCCAGGCTAAGGAGCTAAGTGTGGAGCTAATTACACAAGCAGCACAAATATCTGTAAAACCAAGAAACCCAGGACCACATCCGAGGACTTGGAAGTGGGAACTGTTGAACCCAAAAGCAACTCACAAAAGAAAAAACGGGAGAGACCTGGAGTATCCAACTTACCTGACATTGGGACAGCGAAGAGGAAGAGAAGCAGCTCAGCAGATGCAGTGGGCCTGGCTCCCTGGCCAAAAGCAAAGAAAGTGGCTCAGAAGGACGCTGCATGAGAAGCTGCAGAGGTCTCCAAGGAAAGCAGAGACTTAGAGTCTCCACCCAAGAGGAGAAGGATACTGGCGACACAAAAGACGGCTCTCTCTTGAAAACAGAGAAAGCATAACAGGAAGCATAAGGAGAGACACAGGATGGGGAAGGAGATCATATCCATACGTGTGCTTGTTCAAGTGTGAGTGGATGGGTCTGAAAAAAGTATTTAGCAGTGCAAAAAGCCAGCATGGCTTCCTTAAAAACAACAGCAACAACAACAACAATAGTCCAAATAAAATTGGAGTCAGAAATGGAAACAGACAGTGGAATACCTAAGGCGTCTGGAATGAAAAATGAAAAAACCGGCGCTGGGGAATGTCATCCTGGGAGAAAGCCGACGCAACCCGGACACAGTTTGTGATCGTGAAGATCCTCAGCACGGAGCCCCTTCTTGGCAGAAAGCAAGTCTGGGATGCCCGGCTGCCTTCTCGGAGGTGGTCTGCGTCGACCTGCTGGACAGAGACACGGAGCGTCATGCCAGGTTTAAGACTCCTGGGACGCGCGCTCAGCGGTGAATGCGTATGCAGAGTGAAAAAGAAACACAGCTGGACACTCGTGATCACTAACAGAAATATTCGCAGAAGATTCTGGTTGCTAGACAGGCCAAACTCAGTCAGCCTTGAGAAAAGAAAAGAGGCACCGAGAAGTTAATCACCAAAGCTGAAAAGATCAGACCGGAAAAGACTCAAGGAGCGAGTAAGCACATCCGATTTTCTGCCTCTGACTGAGAAGAGTTGCAGCTCACCTCTCAGCATTTCACTGAGCACTGGCTCTGTTCTTAGGAAGTCCATTGCTATTCTGGGAGCATTGTGTAGCATGTATTTTTCAGATCCTACATTTAAATAAAAAAATACCTTTTTTTCCTCAAAAAAGCAAAAAGAATAATGAAAAAAGAAAATAGACTGGGGAAAAGTTCACTCATTCATTTATTAATTTTATCTCTGTGGTCATGTTTATGGTTATATTTGTCTCTGATTTTGTCCGAGGGTCTCTCTTAGGAGAAGGGTTATAAACTCTAGGACTGCCTGACAGGAATCTGAGGGATATGGTCATGATGTTTACAGCACGTATTTCCCAAGATACTTGTATATCCTGGTGAATGGCCCAATCCCCAAGTGTCCAATTCATGACTAGCTGTCCCTTTCACAAACACCTTGCTTACACTGGCAGATGCCCTTGTGGCTCTTGTGTGGTCTGTATCAGTGCTGGTTTTTTTTTTTTTTTTTTTTTTTTTTTTAATCTCCAAACATTTACTTGGAATTTTAATTTTTTAAAATTGCCCACAGTTGTGTGCATTTGCCAGTGACAGAGGGGGAGAGGGAGAAAGCACCTCCTAATGGGGTGTGGTCACACTGAAATCCTTTCTCCATTTTTCTATCTGTTGGGATTCTAGGCACACATACACATGCACCTGAGGTGTTTTCAAGCTGTCAGGGCTGGGATTCAAAATGCAGTCAGCCATGTGTGATCTGTCTCCCTTAACCACTAGGCTAGGGAGTGGGCCTTCCCATGAACTTTTTGAAGTACCCTTGTATTAAATACAAAGTGTTTTTCAAAATTCAACTATGTGTTGTTTAGCGAAAAAGCATAAAATTTAAGTTGAAAGTGAAAGAATAGCTCTGTTATGAATCACGAGTCTAACTAGACTTAAAAGAAAATGAAGACAAGGCCATATGTAGAAATAGCTTCCATCAAAGGGGAAACAGAAGGGGAACCAGCAGTTAGCGTAATGGCTATGTCGCTGGACTCCCACGTAGTCGACCGCGGTTCGTGTCCTGGACCCGGTGGCTTAAAACTCACGCCGGGCGCGTGTGCGTGCGTGCCCAAGATCCCGAGAGGAGAATGGAGGAGAAGGGATTGCGGTGTGACCATCCCCCCTGGGGGGTGATTTCTCGCTTTCTGTCTCTATGTCTCTCTCTGTCTGGTGAGCGCACGTGCCCTACAGTGAAAATCTCTTAAAAAAAAAAAAAAAAGGGGAAACAGAAGCACAGAACAGGCAGGGGATGGTCAGAGACTCAGTCCCAAGCAGAAGCACCCAGGACAATGACCTGAGCCTTCCTGCTGTGTCTATGTGAGGTATGTTACCAGCAGGTGGCTCATTGGCGTACTTCACCTTATGGGACTTTCAAGGATTTTTGTCTGATGTAGAAAAGTAGCCCACTGGATGCAATGGCCCCAAAGAATGACTATGCAGCCACCTGGTGTGCTTTACACATGTAAGTCAGAGATCCAAGAACCTACTTGGTCACATGGCTGGGACTTTGGCTAAATAGGTCAAATTAGAAGGTAAACACTGAGCTCCTAACCCTAAAGCCCTCCACAGGACTGTGAGTAGACAAGGTGGTAACAGTCATAGTGTTTATCTTTGAGGAATTTACAGTTCAGACAAGGGGCCTTCTATTCTAACCAAACTAAATATTTTGAAAATCAACCAGATGTGGAGGGCTGATTTGACTGCTGTGGACCAATTGCCATTTTGGCTGTGACTGACTGTTGACCTGAGCATAGAGAGCTGATGATAGCTGTATGCATGTGGTGGTACAATAATAGTTAAGAAGTAGCCACAGTTAACACACATGGAATATACTTCTGCTTTTCCTATTTATAATAGCATTGGGGGCCAGATGATGGCACAGGGCTAGAGCAGTTGAACCCACATGGGAAAGGTCTTGGGTTTGAGTCCTGGGACCTTCCAGAACATTCCAAGTGTGTATACATGTGTCAGTGATCTGGGCTGGATGAGAATGGGGGTGGAACATGGCATTGGGACCAATGCCTCTCTGTCTTTCATTGAAGAAAGAAATAAGAGAACTTAAAAGCATGAAAACATTGTTAAGATATAAAATGAAACAGTGTCCTTCATCTCTCTAGATCCCCTTGCCCTTTGTGCACTTCTTCTCAATGCTCAATACCAGCTCTGATATTGTCATGTATCTACTTGCTTATTATCTGTCATTGCCTTTGGCGTGTGAGCTCTGTGTGGGTATGAACTGGGTTTTGTTCACTCCCTTCCCTATACCTAGAATGGTTCTTGGGACTGTAGAAAGAAGAACAACTGTGGGAATTGGCTTGCGCCAGGTAGTACTCTAAGCATTTTATGTACGTTATCTCATTTTACCCCAACATCTTTTTAAGAAAGGTGTCATCCTGTTTTACAGATGAGGAAACAGAGGCTCAATGAGATTCAGAAAATGACCCAGGGTCCTATACTCTATCAGTGGCAGAGCTGGGATTTGAATTCTGGATCAACCATGAGACCCTAACCACTACCCTTTCTCTGTTTTCCTTCTGCAGAGGACATGGCTGGGAAGGCTCTCAAGCTGGCCTCCTGGACCAGCATGGCGCTCGCTGCCTCTGGTGTCTACCTCTACAGTAACAAGTACTTGGACCCTAATGATTTTGGTGCAGTCAGGGTGGGCCGAGCAGTTGCTACGGTAGGTTTTTCTCATTTGGGGATAGCAGAGGAACTGTACTGTTACTTTCAGGTATTCATACATGTAGCAGCTGGATGTTCCTGTCATACATTGTGGGGATATGCATGGACCTTGACATGTGCCAAAGCTCCATCTACCCTGCTGCACAGAAACGGACGATGGACGTGCATCCTCCCTCATAGGCCCCTATTCCTATACACACGGCCTCTGCAATTCTGAGGTTAAATAGAATGGACTTGCATCGGGTCTCTGTTCTGAAGCCTTTCACATTTTAGGTTCCATATCCTAATTTAGTGACAGGCTCTGAGGGGCGCTGCTCCTTAGCAAGTGCACATGGAAGGAAGACTTTGTGACTTTGATTAAATTCTATGGAAAACTTGGTCTCTCTCCAGTGAGCTAGTATGAATGGCTCCTGATCCAGGACTCAGAATATGTAGGCCTTAGAGCGCATTGGGGATCCCCCTCTGATCTCTAGGTAGGGAATCTGAGTTGAATATTGACCTGTCACGGTTTTCTCCATTGTCTCAATTGGAACAGAACCCTGGTGTAATCATGTCCCCTTGACTCTTCCGACAGCCACTCTCCCGGACAGTCCTCATTGGTGGGTTGGTTCCCGTGCTTCATGCTTTCTTTCCTTTACTTGCTGCAGGTTGAACAGATGTAGATATGCTCTGATACACAGTCTGGGTCATTGTCTCACCTTTTTTTTAACACTCATTGTTGTCAGGTGTTCTTCTGAGCCTGGCTCAGAGGAGAGGCCATCGATGTTCTAGAGGATGAGCTGAGTCATAGAATCCAGACAGACAGCCTTTGGGAAAACAGGCTATGGACTAAGAAATAGTTCTTGATATTTATGAGATGCCTTTTTTGGCATAGTCTTTTGTACCTTGAGGAGCAGAAATAAGTGTCCCCGCCTCAACCCCACTGTGAAGGAGCTTCTGGTTGAGGAATGCACATATGAATGGGTTAAAAAACAAGCTAAAGCCGCACACTGTGTCCAGATGAGTGACTCAGATGGTTGCTATGGTCAGACACAGGAGTGAGTGTGATAGCCTGGAAGTTTGGGTGTGGATGAAACCTTGGGGAGGAGGGAGGGAGGATTAGCCAGCACTTTGTCAGTCATCCCCTAAGCTGTACATTTTTTAAAGGCCAGAGCTCTGGTGTTGATTATCCTTGCGCACTGTTCACTGAACAGATTTTGCTCGTGGTTGGTGTTCAACAAGTACGTGTTGGATGGAGAAAGCTGTAGGGGGTACAGACACAAGAACAGAGTATTATTGTTGTTTTGAAATTTACTATAGGGTGCATGCACTTGCTTGAGAGAGAGAGAGAGAGAGAGAGAGAGAGAGAGAGAGAGAAGGAAAGTGAGAAAGCATTTCCCATGGTGTAATCATGTCCCCTTGACTCTTCCGACAGCCACTCTCCCGGACAGTCCTCATTGGTGGGTTGGTTCCCGTGCTTCATGCTTTCTTTCCTTTACTTGCTGCAGGTTGAACAGATGTAGATATGCTCTGATACACAGTCTGGGTCATTGTCTCACCTTTTTTTTAACACTCATTGTTGTCAGGTGTTCTTCTGAGCCTGGCTCAGAGGAGAGGCCATCGATGTTCTAGAGGATGAGCTGAGTCATAGAATCCAGACAGACAGCCTTTGGGAAAACAGGCTATGGACTAAGAAATAGTTCTTGATATTTATGAGATGCCTTTTTTGGCATAGTCTTTTGTACCTTGAGGAGCAGAAATAAGTGTCCCCGCCTCAACCCCACTGTGAAGGAGCTTCTGGTTGAGGAATGCACATATGAATGGGTTAAAAAACAAGCTAAAGCCGCACACTGTGTCCAGATGAGTGACTCAGATGGTTGCTATGGTCAGACACAGGAGTGAGTGTGATAGCCTGGAAGTTTGGGTGTGGATGAAACCTTGGGGAGGAGGGAGGGAGGATTAGCCAGCACTTTGTCAGTCATCCCCTAAGCTGTACATTTTTTAAAGGCCAGAGCTCTGGTGTTGATTATCCTTGCGCACTGTTCACTGAACAGATTTTGCTCGTGGTTGGTGTTCAACAAGTACGTGTTGGATGGAGAAAGCTGTAGGGGGTACAGACACAAGAACAGAGTATTATTGTTGTTTTGAAATTTACTATAGGGTGCATGCACTTGCTTGAGAGAGAGAGAGAGAGAGAGAGAGAGAGAGAGAGAGAGAAGGAAAGTGAGAAAGCATTTCCCAGTGGGGATGGCCATGCTGCAATCCCTTCTGCCCTGTTGTTGTCTTGGGATTTTGGGCATATACATATGTGTCCAGTGTGTTTTTCAAACTGCTGGGCCCAAGACTTTAATTATGCAGCTGGCCATATGAGATCTAGCCCTCTTAACCACCATGCCACCAGCTGGCCCAGGAACAGGGTCTTTTTAATATCAATCTTATAAGCTTCTGAATTTCTAGATCCTCAGTTGCTCAGTTCTAAAAAGGGTGGTTTGGATTAGCTAATTCTCAAGGTTCCTCCAGGCCTGACACTTCCCTGAGGAGTGTCCCCTGTAGTTTTCTGATTTACTAGGGCTAAGGGGGCTTCTCTAGGAGTTTTGACCAGGGGAACAGAATAAGAGCTTTTTTGATCAGAACCAACATAAATATAAAATAATGAATGTTTATTTGTGATACAAAGAAGTATGGTAAGTTTATCTGACAGAATTCATTCAGCTAGTACTAATTAAACATTTACCTATGTGCCTGGCACGTAAAAGGTGCCGGGGTACAATGATGAACAGGACAAGCCCCTGCACCTGTAGAACTTACATTCTAGTGAGGGAAGACAGTCTGTGTATGAGGAAACAAATGAGCAAGCTCATTTTAGATAATTATGATAAATAATTGAGAGTTTCTGGTGGGGGGAGGCAACTTTAGATTGGATCTGTTTGCAGAGGTGGCATTTGCACAGAGCTCTGAATGCCAGAAAGAAGCCAGCCAGGCTGAGATCTGGTGGCAGAGCTTAGGGTGGGACTGGCCACTCCTGCAGACATAGCAGCCATGTCGGGGGCTTTCAGTTGCAGGGCTTGGGCGGAGGAATCATATTTAATATGAAGCTATTAAGCCTTCACTTCCTTTGGTTCACAGACAGCTGTCATCAGTTATGACTACCTCACTTCCCTGAGGAGTGTCCCCTATGGCTCAGAAGAGTACTTGCAGCTTCGATCCAAGGTAAGGGACCTAGGGACCCATCTGAAGCTTCCTGTGTGTAGCTAGAGGTGGGCAGAGGGCAGTTAGGGATGGAGGCTGGGGCTGCTGGTCATTGCGGGTTTGGAAGGAAGGAGGGAGGGGCATATCATCCTTCACATGGAGGTATAGTACTGATGGCTGGGGCCGACAGACTGGCATCATGCTAGATCCCTTGGTGCTGAGGTTATTAATCTATGAGGGAAGCCCGTGTGTAGTTCTGGGGCGTGCAAACCTCTGGGATGACTCAGGAGGGATGAAGGCTCTGCCCCTAGTATAACTCGGTAGGCTTTTAGACTGCTTTGTCAAGTGCAAAGCAATTGAAAAAGGTTAATTGCTTTCCTATCCTCTGAAGACTTCTCTGGGACTTCCCATAGGCTTCTGGGTGGAGCTGTCGACTCCACACTCAGATCAGAGTAGTTAATGTTGATGCTACATCTAGGTATACCAGAGGGCTGGGATGGGGCTGGGGAGGGGGAGGTCCAAGCAAAAGGGCATTTTGTGAGATGCAGGTTAGATCTGAGGTCAATCATAGATACCTTTGGCTCTTCTAGGAGGAGGTCTATAATAGATTGCTGAGTCTTTCTGCTCAGGAAGTTTCCTCAGTCTGGGGTGCCTTTCTCCCCAGAAAATTTCTAGACATCCCTCCCTCTATGATACTTTCCTTCTCAGTCATGATATGTGGATAGGATAATTAATTTTAAATTTTTATTTCAACTTTTTGTTATAGAAATTTTAACCATGTGCAATAGTAGAACCCCTGTGGAACTGTCATCTGGCTTTAGAAATTACCCACATTTTGTGCACCAGCCTGTAGCATAGCAGTTAAGTTCTCTGCAGAGGGTGCTGGATCTCATATGGCTGTCTATGTTCGAATCCTGCTCCTGGTGGCTTGAAAATACATGCCAGCCATGTGCACTTATGTCCAGCATCCTGATGGGAAGGAGAAATGGGGGAAAAAGAACTGTGACATGACCATGTTCCTTCTAGGGAATGCCTTCTCTCTCGCTCTTGCTCACTCTCTCATGTGTGCTCGTGTTCTGGCATTAAAAAAAATCAAGGGAACCAGCAGTTAGCGTAATGGCTATGTCGCTGGACTCCCACGGAGTCAACCGCGGTTTGTGTCCCGGACCCAGTGGCTTAAAACTCACGCCGGGCGCGTGTGCGTGCGTGCCCAAGATCCCGAGAGGAGAATGGAGGAGAAGGGATTGCGGTGTGGCCATCCCCCCTGGGGGGTGATTCCTCGCTTTCTGTCTCTATGTCTCTCTCTGTCTGTCTGGCGAGCGCACGCGCCCTATAGCAAAAACCTCTCCAAAAAAAAAAAATAAATAAATAAAAATAAAAACAAAATACCTTCCTGAAGTTATCAGCATACTGCCCATCTCGTTTGTCATCTACTCCCTCCCTTTACTTTTATTCCTTCTTTTTAAATTTATTCATTTATTATTTTTTGCTGATATATTCAAATGTAAATCTCAAGCATCATAACATTTCACCTGTAAATACTTAAATATGTATCTTTAATAGATTAGGACCTTTAAAAAATATAGTCACAATACCACGATCATGTCTAATAAAACTGATAATCTTTAATAACTTTTTTTTCTTTTTTAATTAAATAAATTAATTTTTTTAGAGGTTTTTGCTATAGGGCGCGTGCGCTCGCCAGACAGAGAGAGAGACAGAGAGATAAAAAGCGAGAAATCACCCCCCAGGGGGGATGGCCACGCTGCAATCCCTTCCCTCTATTCTCCTCTCGGGATCTTGGGCACGCACACACATGCGCCCGGCGTGAGTTTAAGCCACCAGGTCTGGGACTCAAACCACGGTCAACTACATGGGAGTCCAGCAACATAGCCATTACGCTAACTGCTGATCCCAATCTTTAATAACTTCTAATAGCCAGTCCATATTCAAATTTCCCTTATTCTCCAAATGTCTTTTTTTGATCTGTTCAATTCAGACAAGATACATATATTACATTTGATGGACATTTTTGTTCTTTTTTTTTTTTTTTTTTGCTATAGGGGGTGTGCACTTACCAGAAAGACAGAGAGTGACAGAGGGACAGAAAGTGAGAAATCACCCCCTAGGGGGGATGGCCACGTCACAATCCCTTCTCCTCCTTTCTCCTCTCAGGATCTTGGGCACGCATGCACACGCACCTGGCATGAGTTTAAGCCACTGGGTCCGGAACTCGAACCACGGTTGACTACATGGGAGTCCAGTGACATAGCCATTACGCTAACTGCTGGTCCCTCAGTTGACATTTTCTAAATCTTTTAAAGTCCATTTCCTTGCTCTCCCTTTTTTTTTTTTTTTTTGCTATAGGGGGTGTGCACTTACCAGAAAGACAGAGAGTGACAGAGGGACAGAAAGTGAGAAATCACCCCCTAGGGGGGATGGCCACGTCACAATCCCTTCTCCTCCTTTCTCCTCTCAGGATCTTGGGCACGCATGCACACGCACCTGGCATGAGTTTAAGCCACTGGGTCCGGAACTCGAACCACGGTTGACTACATGGGAGTCCAGTGACATAGCCATTACGCTAACTGCTGGTCCCTCAGTTGACATTTTCTAAATCTTTTAAAGTCCATTTCCTTGCTCTCCCTCTTTTTTTTTTTTTTTAAAACGCTATTTGCTTGTTGAAGAAACGAGATCATTTATCCTGTAGCATTTTCTACAGTCAGGATTTGGTTGATTGCATCCTCAAAGTGTTGCTTAATGGGAAATATATTCAAATGGTACACAATTCAAGGTATATAATATTTGAAACATACAGAATGACCCTCCTACCCTTGTTCCTCAGGTACCCAATTTTCTGCCTAGAAGCAATCATTATTTCTTATGTATCCTTTCAGAGATAACTTCCTATTTGAATTTAATCATGCTATCTTTATTCCTGCCACAGATGATAGTTGGTTACATGTCTATCTCTCTGTTCAGACTGTTGGTTTCTTTAGATTAGGGATAGGATATTTCTTTTTTTCCTTTCTTTTTTCTTGGAGAGGTTTTTGCTATAGGGTACGTGCACTTGCCAGAAAGACAGAGAGAAACAGAGAGACAGAAAGTGAGAAATCACCCCCAAGGGGGGATGGCCATGCTACAACCCCTTCTCCTCTTGGGATCTTGGGCATGCACACACTCCCACCAGGTGTGAGTCTAAGCCACCGGGTCCAGGACTCGAACCACGGTCAACTACATGGGAGACCAGCGACATAGCTATTATACCAACTGCTGGTCTCTAAGTTTATTTATTTCTTCTATGAAAGAGATAGATAGAGACAGATAGACAAGTACCTCCAACAGGTCTTCACTATGTGATTCATCTCCTGTCTCAGCCAGCCCAGATCATGGGTATATGTTCATATGTGGCATGCTCAGGAGGTCCCCGGGTGTGGACCTGGGACCTTTTCTATGTGGGTCCAGTTACGTACTATTGTACCACGATCTTTCCCTTTTACATCTTCTACTCGTGATGAGCTTTGGACTGAGACAATGTAATGTCTCTTTTAGTGCCAGCTGCACTCTGCTACCTCCTTGCCTCTAAGAGGCCCTAGAAAGAGTACAGGGTTTGTAGCAGAGGGTCTGAGTTTGTGCCTCCACTATGAGAGGGTTATTTAATCTTTTCGAGTTGCTCTTTTCCTTGTCTGTAAATAGAGATGGTTATACCACTTACTGAGGAGACATTGATAATATCTAGAAGGCACCTTGTGGAATGTAAAATAGGTATAAAACTGAATCAGGTGTCTCTGAGAAAGTATGTTCCGTGAGAACAGAGACCTGGTTGGTTCTGTATATCTCCATGTCTGCAGCGTTTACACCAGGACCAGGACACAGTAGGCTCTGAATAATGGTTTATCACATAAATGAATGAAATATTCGTTTTTACTGGAGGATCTCAAAGCTCCCCTTTGACCCCCACCCTCCTGCCCCTCTACTTTTTCCTACTTTTTTTTCATCTAACCAGTGCTGGGGGCCTTGGAACCTATCAGAGTGACATTCTGCAGAGAGTGGAGGCCACAGGGTCAAGGCCTCTGTCTGGGGGAGTCTGCAGAGCAGGCAGGCAATGGATGTGGTAAAGACAGCTGCCTTCAATGTATAAGTCAGCTGAGAGGCAGTGGCTCCTGAGCTCCTGGAGATGTTGACAGCTTGGGGATGCAGCAGAAAGGTGCAGCCTGGCATTTGACAAGAGGGCAGCATGTGGTGGCTGGCATCAGATAGTGGGGGGTAGGCTGGTCCCTGGGAGTTGTGCCCGGGAAGGAGGAACTGACTGGCACAAAAGAGCATGAGTAAATACCGCAGGGTGTTTTCTTCCATCGGAGTGCTTATCCATTCTCGTCAGCATGGCTGATAAAGGCATGAGTGAAGGGTAAAATATAATTATCTCACCTGTCAAGCCAGCAGCTCCAGGTCCCAGAGCATGTCAGAGCCAGGAGACTAGCTCAGCAGGCAGTGACTTCAAGTAGCACTTCCAAGGTTGGTGCTGGCAGGCTGGGATCTCAGTGACTCAGCTCTGCATCAGGAGGATTGGGAGCCAATGTGAAGAAGTGGGTTCTGGGGCCATTGTGGTATTTGGCTAGGCAGCCAAGGGGTTGGGGAGGGGTCCAGGATGTTTATAAAAACTGAGCTGTCTGTGAACTAGCTTGTTTATAAAGCAGAAAGAAGTCACTGCTGATGTCAACATCCAGCCAATGGAGGAGGCAGGATGGAGTTGATTCTGACTAAGGGGTTGTAATGTGGTGGGTATTTGCTAATTTTGCAGCTAAAGAGCCATTCTTATTGTGGAGAATATCATCACACTTTCTCTTTGGAGCTGCTCTATCTCATGCATATATTGGGAGCCAAGCCATTGGTGAAGCCTAATCTATTTGCCCTAGAAATCAATTTAAGGATGGGAATCTGAGTAAGTTCTAGACAGTGAACTTCAGGTCCATGTCTCTTTTTAGGGAATAGCAGCTCTCCCTTTTCTGGTGGGTTATAAG